CACGGTGCTAACGGGGGCTACACGGTGCCGGGTGGAGGCGAATACTGTATGTACGGCGGCGAGGGCCCTGCTTTCGGCCACTGCGAGCCTCAGCCGCTTCACCACCACCCTCCCTGCATGGAGCAGGCCTGGCCTAACAGCCAGCCCTACCCGTGCGCCTACCCGGGGAGCAACCCGGTGTTCAAGAGCGAGTTCTGCAGCATGGAGGTCCCGCTCAGCCACTACCACCAGCCCGACTACTTCTCCGACAGCAGGCCAGACTTCGCTCAGATGCAGTGGATACAAGCGCCGCATAAGAAAGGTACAGGGAGGGCGCACTGGTGGACGGAGGCAGGATGTAATAGAGGGTGTTCCAGGTTGTTGTTAACTAAAGAGAGCCCTCGGTTAAACCCCTTAAGCTCCGCTGACCTGTCGGGGGGGTAATTTCTTATAGCTTCTTGTAATTATATAAATATTTTATAACTTTTTTATGCTTATTCATGGTCTACTGTATACTATACATAACAGAGGGTGTTCCAGTTTGTTAACAAAATAGGGCCCTCGGTTAAACCCCTTAAGCTCCGTTGACACTGTAGCATGAATCATCGTGCTAAATAACCAGCATCTCTTACTTTCAGTGTAGCACTTTATTTGATTTCATGTTATTTGAACAGGTGATTCATTTTTCATAACAATTTAAGATTCAGTTTGGTCCATTCGAGAGCAAATAATGTTATATATATTGCAGCTTTAGCATGTAAAATGTACTGGTAGTGTTCTTAATTGATTAATAACAACTTAAATGAATGGTTAATGTGGTCTGGTTGACTCTTGTCGTCCATTTCCGCCTCTTCTTTTGGTTTTGGGGCTGGACTTGTGGCCGAAGATTGTTAAAAGTCGACTGTTTGATTAACATTTTTGTTCCGTCTTCATAAAAACCAGATATATGCAAGTGATTGTGTTGTATTCGTTTGTGATTGAGCTGCTCTGCTAATCACAAATTGTGCACTGGGTCAGTGGCTCTGCGGTGGATTAGCCCAGTTTTTGGTCCGTGCTCTCTTAATAGTGTCACACTGTAAAAGTAGCAGAGATAATCTCCTTCACATGATGATATAATAGATGTTAAGAGCCTTAAAGTGTTTATGAATTTGACTTAATGTATGTCTTCAATACAGGCTTTGTGTGTTGTGTAATGGTTCAAAGTCACCTACAGTTGTGTGCTTAGCAGCGAAAGGACAAGAATAGAAGAATCCTTTTCAAGCCCTTTAATTATAGACCTTTTTAGATCAGATAGGAATGTCCTGACTTTAATTAATTGATGTATAATTAGCTCATTAGTTGACCTCCTGCTGTGTTCTTTTTTGGTGCAGTTTATAAAAATAGATTAATTCACTGTAGATGCTCAACTTTTACATTCAGCTAAACATCTCTCACAAATTCTTCACTGTACCGCTCTGACCCTAATCCTGGTTCTGATCCTAATCACTGTAACCTTAACTTATGAGCCATAGCTATAACAATAAAGTGTGAAATGCGTTGATGAGCAGATCAGCACTGAGCTTCATGTAATTACTGACTACACTGTTAGTAATAAAGGTTCTGTTTAGGTACATTTTTCATTCATCAAGCTACAAACAGTGTAAATGTTCCCTCAAAGGTACAACAGTGGTTTTAAGGTCTGATTGTGAACCTTAAATCAGTTTTTCCAGGTGAAAAGTTCGTATTTGTACCTTTTCATAACCGAATGTTTTAAAACAGAACGGTAAAATAAAAGCCTGGAGACGAGACGGGGTGTGTGGAGTCAGTACAGCTTAGAACATATCATTTCAGTGGATTATGGTTCAGTTATGTTCCCTGACTAAAGGTACTGAGATGGACCCCTCAGGGTCCCACCCCAGTGACAAGAGGGGCACTGCCCCAGTGACAGTTCAGTACCTTTATTTCTGAGAGTGTATAACTGAACTGTATTGGGTGTGAACTGTATCTACAGTTGTATGCAAAGGTTTGGTCAAATTCCATGTTTTGTTGACTTTCTAAGTGTAAATAAGTGAAAACATCCTCTGCTGAGACTCACGTCTGCATGTTTTAATGCACCGTTACTGCTTATTTGCTGAATTTAACATAAAGGGGGAATGAAGAGTAAAGTGTGGCCTATGGAAACGTTAACATTTTTTCCAGTGTGTTAAACTCGGCAAGTAACTAGACATTGTGCACTAAAATTAGCAGAAAATGTCGCATTGTCGCTGTCCAAAGACAAATACGTATCTCCATTTTTTCCCTTTTTTATTTTTCTACATAATTTGAGCAGCTGTTCTTTAGATTGTGTGAAAATTTCATGATGAATGGACCTATAGAAATGCTCCAAAAATAGCATTCCTATTAAAATCTCTTTACACTAACTTACATTACAAGTAAATGTTTTTGCTCTCTCCTGTAAAGCTGCCGTTTTGGAGATTGGAGAGTTGTTTTTCTGTGGACAGTGATGATATTTAAGTGTGTTCTCTGTACACTTTCAGAAATAAAGGTAGTAAACTGTCACTGGGGCAGCCCCCCTCTTGTCACTGGGGTGGTTCCCTCAAGGGTCCATCTCAGTTCCTTTAGTCAGGGAACATAACTGAACCATAAGCCACTGAAATGATATGTTCTAAGCTGTACTGACTCCACACACCCCGTCTCGCCTCCAGGCTTTTATTTTACTGTTCTGTTTTAAAACATTCGGTTATGAAAAGGTACAAATACGAACTTTTCACCTGGAAAAACTTATTTAAGGTTCACAATCAGACCTTAAAACCACTGTTGTACCTTTGAGGGAACATTTACAATGTTTGTACTTTGATGAACAAAAATGTACCTGAACAGAACCTTTATTTTAACAGTGTAGAGGGTGTTTTATCTTATTTTCACTTAGAAAATCAACAGCAATATGGAATTTGGGGTTTATATACAGTAGTGTGCATTATTTAAACCATGTATCTGAGCAGTAATTATGATTCATTTGTTAAAAAGTCACATATCAGTAGAGGAGATGCATCAATACAGCAAATAAAAACAAGAATTTCATATTTTGAATAAAGCATTTCTCCTAGATGCTTCCAGTCATTGCATAGATTTGTGAATTCCATCTGCAGCACACCTGATTTAAAAGTATTGATTAGTGTACCCAAGTATTGGATGATGACTGCAACTAATACTGGCCTTCCTTGCATAACAAGAGGTCTGGAAATGGTTAAACTGAATACATTTACATGCATAAAATCACTGCTTACTTATTAATATTATTATATTTGTTCTAATATTAGCATTAAGCACTTATTAACCAGCTTTTCAAATGGAACAGAGCTCAGGGTGCTACAATGCTGTAAATATGTAGACGTGCCTGTTGGTTCTAGTGTGTATTGATCTTCTGGGGTTTGCTTGGTTATTGTAGAGCGTATTGATTGGCAGGCACGGCTGTCGGGGCGCAGACAGAGGAACAGAAGGCCCAGGCTTGCGGGGGTAATGGCCTGTCTCTGACCTCCTGCACTCTTATTGATCACAAACAGTATCGATCCTGGTTCTGGACGCTCCTCAAGACCAGTTGCAGCGTGAGCTCCTGGGATTTAGCTTAGTTCACTGTTGCGCTGTTTGACTGAGCTGCCCTTCGTGTGCGAGTAGGCCGAGCGTCCAGATGAGACTCAGTCCTCTTGTATTGTGTGTTCCTAATAATATTGACTTATTGACCCACTTTTCTGACTTTTTCTCTCTTTTTTCTGTGTGTTCTTCTGTTCTGGGGTGAACAGCACCGCTTTTGTTTATTTTTATTAAAAGCATGTTTCCAAACAGGCCACAGTTAAAGTGAAATGCTCCAGTTATGAAACGACTGGAATGTGTTTATTGTTTTACATGGATTTACTACATCATCGATTCTTCCAGCTTTGCCCCAGTTTCTCTTCTAACAGCTGCACCTCTGCAGTTTACTCACCACTATCATATCAAACCCTCACTACTATATATATTTTTAGTATATATATAAATATATAGTTTGAAGTGTCTTTGACGTGTTCTTTGACGTGTGTGAACATGATGACTGCATGGATAGAAATGGTGCAGAATTACTTGAAATAAAATGTAGTTACATTAACAGTGACATTTAAAAATGTTACTAAGATTACTTATTTTATATAGAATAACATTTTATACAGTGCAGATTAAAAACTCTAAACCAGGTATTTTGGCAACAACAATAAGTTATTCAATAATTAATAAACAATAAATCATGTAATGTAATTATCTGTTTACAGGAATGTCTGCCTTAAGATTTGTCTCTTTTTTATTATTTTTTTTTATTATTTAATATTATTTCGCATCATGCAGTCATATATTTATTTTTTTAATTTTTTGCTTCCTATTAATAACATACACATTTTTATAGCTTCTTGTAATTTTATGAACTTGTATAACTTGTATAACATTTTTAAGAACATTGATTCTATACTATTTAGCGTCATGCAGTCATTTATTTATTTATTTGTTTATTTATTTTATTTGTATATTTTTATTTTTATAGCTTATTAATTATATAAACATTCTTATAGCTTCTTGTAATTATTTCAAATATTTTAACTTTTATATATTTATACATAGTGTATTAATACATTGTATACTGTATACTTTACATAACACACTACTTATGTATTTTATAAACCATTGAATCTACAGTGTAAAAAGTGATTCAGTGTTTTAACTTTAAAAAGTCGTAAGAAAAGTAACCTGGTTGACTTAAAAGTTCATAAAAAAAACTTAAAAAATAATTTGTCAGCAAAATGTTAAGGCGACCAGGTTTTTAACCTTCTTAAGTTAAAATATTGAATAATTTTTCACAGTGTACCTTTTGAACAGTAGTGTGTATTAAAATAAGGAGCGTTTTTGTTTCTTCTCCTGTAAAGTCAGGAGGTGTGAGGTATTGTGAGGACAGCGTTGTGTCTACAGTACAGACATTATTCCCATTGGAAACGTTTGTAATGTATGTTCTATATTTTCAGGGTACATACCAAGTTACCTAGACAAGGACGAGCTTTGTGTAGTGTGTGGGGACAAAGCGACGGGATACCATTACCGCTGCATCACCTGTGAGGGCTGCAAGGTGAGCCCTGAGTCTCTGCTCTGAACACAAACACTGCACAGCAGAGAAAACTGATTAAAACGGTTTATCTCGACAGTGAGTGTGTTTACCAGTGTATATACAACATAAAACAAATATAAACATAACTTCAGTGAACAGTGACAGAAATGTAGGGTAGGAGAACACAGGTCTGGTTCTTGATTTCGTGCTGCACTATAGATTATGGTTATATATTTATAAATTAATTATAATTTTGATGTCTCTTTTTCCAGGTCATGGAAGTGATAACAGTATCACATTAGGGCTGATATGATTTTATATAGGCTAATCCCAACAAGCGTCAGCTAAAGTAGCAAATGCTGCGGGGAAATGACATCAAAATGGACAAAAGCGACACTTCATACATCTACATAGAGGCTTTATAACACCTGCATAAGCACTGGATAACATATTTTAAAGCCATGCTGGAATATTTATGAACAGTTTATACCAGTAATCACAGGATGACATGAAATGTTTTAGAAAGTAAATGACATTGTATTGACATAAGTGGGCCTTAAACTGAAGTAATGGGCATATTCGTGCCATTTATAACACTGTTATGAAGCATTATTCACAAGTAATGGAACCTAAAAGGCGGAGGCCTAGTTAAGAGCACAATATATGAGTTCTGGACATTTCTACAAAAGTGTAGCTTCTATTAAAGAGACCTGAAAGGCTGCAGAAATCTTTCATAGACCTGATACGTGTTCTTATCAAGTCTTCAGAACCTCCATTGAATGACGCTTCATAACAGTGTTATAAATGTAATGTTTTCTTTACCATATACAATACAATTGTCTGTTTACTGTATAATGTCATTTAGTAAAACAGCTAATGCCATCTTGTGATTACTGACATAAGATATTTGTACAGAGTTCATAAAATATTGCTTTATAAATACCTTATTGAATGCTTACGAATGTGTTATGAAGTTATTGTGTCGGTAGCTTTCAGATAAGGTGTCACCTTCCTATGCCTGCACTTCATTTTTCATCTTCCCTTTCTGTCCTTTATTTTCCGAAGGGTTTCTTCCGGCGCACGATCCAGAAGAACCTGAACCCGACGTACGCGTGTAAGTACGAGGGGAAATGCATCATCGACAAAGTCACTCGGAACCAGTGTCAGGAATGCCGCTTCAAGAAGTGCATTGCCGTTGGCATGGCGACCGACTGTGAGTGTTTGCTTTTGTTATGATGTAGTGATAAATTAGGATGATGTTAGTGTAAAACAGCACTGTGACATACTTTCCCGTACTTCTGTGATACAGTCATGCCTGCACATGTCGCGTAGCTCCGCTGCTCAGACAGGCCAGCACACGTCACATCTGGTGATGTTCAGAGTTGGAAAGTGTGTGAATCTGGATCCATGTGGGATTCGACTGATGTTGACAGTGATTGACAGAAAGTCAGAGACACTCAACAGCTCTCATCACTCAGAGAAGCAGAGAGCGACTCCAGTGACGTCTGTGATTTAGCCTGATATTTGAGCACCACTGTGAATGATTTAGAGGGGCCAACTCTTAGCAATAATAATAATAATAATAATAATAATAATAATAATATGCCTTATTTATAGTGCCTATTTTATAAATGAGAAAAAATACATACATGGCAACAGATAAAACACAAAAGAGACTTAAAAAAGATAATAAAACCTTTAAAGAATAAAATAACAGCAAGATTTTGAAAAGAAATAGAAGTAGAACAGTGAAATGAGAAAATGAGAATTGTGTCGTATATATCACTGTTGTCGGAAGAAAATCTTATATCTCCATTTTTGTCGTTTTTCAGATTTTCACAAAATTTGAAAATACCTGTTGTTCTTTACATTGTGTGTAAATTTTATGATGAATGGACCAAAAGAAACGGCCCAAAATGACTTGGAAAAAAGTCTGGTTCCATTGACTTACATTAAACATAAAGTAGGTTTTTTCCTTCTCCTGTAAAGTTACCATTTTGGAGATACAAGGTTTTCTTCTGACAACAGTGATATTTAGATCTCTCTTATAAAAAAAGGAATGTTTTCATTTTCAGTATAAATGAAGATAGTAGGCTAGTGCAGTCATAGATATTTACAGTGTATAATATATACAAAATATTCATTTACCATTTAATTGTTCGGTTATTATTTAAGGTATTGTTTACGCTTGAAAAATATGATTCTAGGATAAGTTTAGGTAAATTTACTGATTTAATTTTAAAACAGAATAATTAATAATCTTCCTGATTTCTCTTTTTTGTACCAACCCAGTTGTCCAGTTGTGCATTTCTAACATTTCTAAGACTCTTCACTGTTCAAACATTTGGACTCACTCATCACATTAACTGATATTTTGTTTGATATTATTTTATACAGTTTAAACAGAGAAATTTTAAACCAGACATGAGAAACTATACAATAGTTTGTAGATATTTAATTCAATATTTACACCTTTTTTTACTTTTTTAAACAATAACTAGGATAAAAGTCCTAAATGATAAATAATATACTGTAATCATCTATTTTTCCTTATCTACCTCAAGATTTGATCACCACTTTTCTAATATGAGGAATTCTGGTAAATTTTATTATGCCCTCATTTTCATATCTCTCCATCATTGTGAAATCATTTAATTTAATTGCTCTGTAAATCAGTCTGAATTCATTTCAGTTGTTTTTTTTTACAGATTCCTACAAAGTGTTTGAACATTGTAGAGCACTAGAATCATTTACAGTAATTCTGTACATACATCTTTAAAGAACTGGTTATATACAGTCATGTGTAAAAGTTTCAACACCCCTGGTCAAATGACGTTTTATTGGCATCTTCCCCAGAAAGCACACTTTTAAATATGGCATTTTTCTACACATTATATTGCATAATTTTAATTTATTTGCTGATTTTAAGGTATTGGAAGAAATAAAACATAAAATGTGCCAAAACTTTTGGACAGACTGCTATTTTTTGAATTATTGTTAAAAAAAAATTATTATTATTAAATAAATTCAACAAAAAATCTATTATTATTTGAAAAAACAGCAAAACATGTAATTTGACCCGGGGTGCACCTTTGCATACAACCATATTATTAAGAACTGTGATTCCAAACCTTTTGACCTTTCCGAATTCGAGTTGTCCTCGCTTGCTTTCCACTGCCCCACCTCTGGCTCTCTCACTCAGTGCTCCGTGGCTGTCTCTCGCCCCCTCTAGTGGTGCTGGATGACAGTAAGCGGCTGGCTAAGCGGAAGCTGATAGAGGAGAACCGCGAGAGGCGGCGGCGTGAGGAGCTGCAGAAGACGGTGTGGGAGCGGCCCGAGCCCTCGCAGGAGGAGTGGGAGCTGATCCGCATCGTCACCGAGGCCCACATGGCCACCAACGCCCAGGGCAACCACTGGAAACAAAAGCGCAAATTCCTGGTGAGACGCCTCCTCCCCGAAGTCAGCGCCACGCTCTTGTTTTGCTGTTTCTTTTTTTTTATCATTTTGTTTTTTGGCTTTATTTTTTGTACCTGTTTCTTGTTTGTTTGTTTTTTTTTTCTTTTTAATTCTTCGCCACACCTTGAATCCTCCCTCCTCCAATCCCTACTTCCCAAATCCCTCTTCCCAGTCCCGTGCCCACTGTTCCACGGTTCCCTGTGTTAATATGTGGATGTTTTTTGTATCTTGTAGAGTGGGGGAGAGTTAGCTGGACGCTGGAGACTGTGTTCCACAAAGGCAGCAGCACTAACTTTAATGGAACATCTTTTACAGTTTTATCCTCCTTTCCTTTCCTCAAACTCAAACCTTTCAACCAAAACCAATCTACTAAAATGTTTTATGTGTCCTTATTTCTGTTCTGTTCTGTTCTGTTCTTTTTCTCTGTCTCTCTCTCTCTCTCTCTGTCTCTCTCTCTATCTAACTTTGTGTTTTTTCTCGTCCTCATGTTTTCAGTCTCTAACCAATTGCTTTCTCCATGTTTCTTTAAAATCTAGCCGTCCTCTGCAGATTGAATGTCTGTCTCAGGACTAACTTTGTTGTGGGTTTCCATGGCGAGATTGCTAACAAACAAAAGGCTGGTTAGAATTTGAATTGTTATAATATGATTATTACCATGAAATACTATTGAACTGACTCTAAAAAGACACTGTTTATGCTCTAGAAGTAACTAGTTTGATATGTACAGTACTGTGCAAAAGTCAGAGACCCTTCATTTATTTACTTTCAAGTCAAAACAGACATTAAGTACAAACAGAAAACGAGTATTTAACAAAAAATTACACAGAAGCTTCAGCAACTAAATATAGTATGAGATGTTTGAGTGTTGAGTATGGAGCCCCGCTGGTGACGTCCTGTTTAAATAAAAATAATGCTTGGCCACAACTTAGTAAGGTGTGGCAATGAGATCCTAATGCGTGGCCATGACTTAGTAAGGCATGATCTCGTTTCCACCCCTTACTAAGTCGTGGCCACGGCTTAATTATTTTGTTCCCCTGCCCTACTTAGTTGAGGCCTCGCATTATTTTTATTTATACAGGACGTCACCAGCGGGGCTCCTTAGTTCGATGTGTCCCTCTTTACCTTTATTACAGCTTCCATTCTTTTCAGGAGACTCACTTTCAGTTCCTCAAAGAATCTGCAGACACACCTCCAAAGTTCAGTCTTAGAAGCTGGTTGATCATTTTCTGCAGTAATCAAACATTCAGTGGTGTTGCGGTCTGGACTCTGGGGTGGTCAGTCCATCGTTCAGCTTCTTTGTTTGATGTGTCCGTCTCCTTTTCTCAGTGAGGTTCTTCTTGACAGCTACACATCCTTTCAGACCCACAGCGCTGAGTCGTCTTCTCACAGTGGAAGGATGGACAGAAACACCTGTGGATGTTTTCAGATCTGAAGCAGCTTGATTTTCTCCTCTCTCTCAGAGATGAAAGCTTTAAGTGCTGTTTATCTGATGGGGGCAGTTTTGGTGTCTACCAGCTCTTCCAGGTGGTTGTTAGGAGCCACATTTTCTCTGTAGCTTTTGGAAAGTTTACATTTACTTTTACGGCACTTGGCAGACACTCTTATCCAGAGCGACTTACAGTTTGAACATTTTTTACACAGGTAGGTAGGCAAGGGCAGTGTTAGGAGTCTTGCCCAAGGACTCTGATTGGTATAGTGTAGGATCCAACCAAAAACAGTGCTGTTTCGTCTGACTTAGATGTTAGTTAGATGATCTTCTATCTGATCTCTTTAGAAATATTTCCTGACAAATGAGTAAGTCGTACATAAAGGTTGTTTTGACTGGAAGGGGTGGTCTCTCGGACTTCTGCCAGTACTGTAGTTTCTTCGCGTCCGTGATTGGATCCACTCAGCTCCATGGAAACGCCACGCATGCTCATGATCTCACTTTGTTTCTGTCTGCACTGTCTCATCTGTCCTCAGTTTCAACTTGTTTTTTTTTAGTTGGCTTGACTCGGGTTCTTCATTGAAACTTCACGATCCCTGTTGATTGCCCAACAGGTCGAGGAAGCAATGCTACTTAATGAAATAACTTGTAATTTATTCTATACTTCTGACCAGAGTGCAGTGGGGGTGAAGGAAACCAAGGTAAGAACCAGTAGACCAAATCCATTTGAGTTTTTAATTTTGTTTTGTTTTCTAATTTACCCCAAAAACCGCTCTCTGAAATTGTCAGCTGCTTCCGTTCTGTCATTATTTATTAATTAATTCATTGATTTGTTTATTTTCATTTATTTATTTATTTATTTGTGGATAGATTGACATGCTGACTGCTTGAAGCGTCTGTTTGCCGTGTTTGTGTAGCGCTCTGCTCGCTGTATCAGACTGAAGGTGTACACAGGAGAGGAAAGCTTAAGGGATAGCTGCACTCAGCACTTTGAGACTGAAGACAAACAAAACAGCAGAAAAAGCTTAAACTAAATAATAAAAAAAAAGATAGAGAGATAGAGAGAGAGAAAGAAGGAGGTCTGAGGCTGGGTTTTGCGCTGTACTCAGCACCCCTGTCTTCCCTTTCCTCAGTCTGGTCTCTTCCACGCTTCATCTTTCACATCACTTTATTTCTGGTCAGAAGGGCATTAAGTGCTTTTATTATCTAAAGGTAAACTTAAAAAATAGGGGGGATAGCAATCTCAGTACAACCTCAGTGAATAACCCTAGTCAATGACTTCACCGGCAGAGAGAGATCTCTAAACGACAAAGGCTTCTCTGCTCCGCTTCCTCGATTCGTCCTATCGTTTAAGTTTCCTTCTTCTCCTCCTTTTCCTCTCAATAACTGGGCACCATGGACTCACTCCACTCTGTTTTTTGGAATGTGTCTCGCTGTAACTCTGTGGCCTTTCTCATGCTTTTAGAGGGGAATGAGGATTTGCTGTGTCACACCTTCGACTTGGTTAATGTCTTCTAGCCGCCAGTCACGCCGTTGCTAAGCGCCCCGCACCTCCCTCTTCCTGTCGTTGCAGCCTGAAGACATCGGTCAGGGGCCGATCGTCAACGCGCCGGAGGGGAGTAAGGTGGACATAGAAGCCTTCAGTCAGTTTACAAAAATTATCACCCCCGCCATCACCCGAGTGGTGGACTTCGCCAAAAAGCTGCCTATGTTCTGTGAGGTAAGTCCAGAGGGTTTCTAGTGAAGAGAAACCAGTAGGAATGTGTTCCAGGTTGGTCAGACACTAGAGGGCGCTCCAGAGCGAGTCCAGAATCAATACATTTCAATTGAGCTTCTGTGCAAAATTGCCATTCGGAAATGCTTAATCAATTTTATACAGAGCAGCATTAAATATTCCAACACTGCTGCACTTCTAACAGTGTCTCATGTACACACTTAATATGATGGTTCTTCAAGGGTTCTTTAGTAAAGAAAATAGCTGAGTACAGAACCATGAGCATTTAAAGAACTTGTTGCATCGTTAAAAGGTGAAGGGTGGTCAGCACTCAGTAGCAGTAATGCCAACCAATCAGCACTCAATATCAGTAATGCCAACCAATCAGCACTCAATATCAGTAATGCTAACCAATCAGCACTCAGCAGCAGTAATGCCAACCAATAATCACTCAATATCAGTAATAACAGCCAATCAGCAAATAATAGCAGTAATGCTAACCAATCAGCAATCAGTAGTAGTAATACTAACCAGTCAGCACTCATTAGTAGCAATGCTAACCAATCAGCGCTTAGTAGCAGTAATGCTAACCAATCAGCACTCAGCAGCAGTAATGCTAACCAATCAGCACTCAGTAGCAGTAATGCTAACCAATCAGCACTCAGTAGCAGTAATGCTAACCAATCAGCACTCGGCAGCAGTAATGCCAACCAACCAAAACTCAGTAGCAGTAATGCTAACCAATCAGCACTCAGTAGCAGTAATGTTAGCATTTACTTTTTAATTACTACTCAAAATCTTTTTGCTGTAGAAAAGCATCTGATTTTTTAATGGAATAAATTCTTCTACTTCCCAAAATTATAGGAAGTTCCCACATTAATGGATAGAAACAGGCTAAATTTATTGTGTTTAGCTCCATTCAATTCCACTCACTGTTGACACGCTCTCCAGCGCCCTCTAGCATTTCTAGCAGTCATGGTTTTGGAAGTTTAACAGTGGCAGACAAAGAAAGCGAACAATCTGAATGTTAAGATTGGCCCTATAGTTTAATCAACTAGATTCCAGTATAATAACCCATATTTGATTTAATGTAATGCACTGTATGTCCAAAGTGTCTCGTTCTAATGAGTGAATTCAGATACTTTAGAGTGCTCCCATTACTGACTCAGGCGTTCAATTGTGCCCATGGAATGGGACACACTGGAACAGCCTACGGTCACCCTGCCCGTCAGCTAAAGGGGTATAAAGCCCCTCAGCACTGGGCTGTAGAGCAGTGGGACTGTGTTATCTGGAGTGACGGAGCTCCATCCAGTACCTTTGGGATGAGTTGGAGTGATCCAGAACTGACCATCCAACATCAGTACCTGACCTCACTAATACTCAATCAAATCCTCACAGCAATGTTCCAACATCTAGTGTAAAGCCTTCCCAGAAGAGTAGAGGCTGTTACTGCAGCAAAGGGGGAAATAATACCAGAAGAGCATGGTGTCTACAAGCTTTTGGACATATAGTGTATATAGATATTAAATACAGGCATAAATAACCTTGGTAAAGACTATGTTTACAGAAAACACTGACTTTTGGTTAATTAGCTTTGGTTAATTGTGATAATCGTTCTCCTAAAGATCTGCCTTCCTGTTCAATTTCCAGCGAATCATGGACTTCTGAGCACAGTCATTAGCTGAACCAGGTGTGGTGGATTAAGGTTAGAACTAAACTCAGCATGGAAGGTTGATCTCCATGAGCAGGATTGATGACAGCTGGCCTATTTGGATTATTTTTACTTTTAAAGGGGAATTCCACCAATATTTTCCAAAATTCAGCATAAATAAATAGTTCAGATGTAAACAGAGTCATTCAGAGTGAGTTTGGTGTGAAATGGTTCTGATGTCTTTACAGTGGTGGTGATAGGAACCAGGAGTCACTATGACTACAACACATATACAGACATTTTATTTACTATCCAAAACCAGCAGTGAACCTACACGAGTCTTCTGAGCTTTTAATATGAAATATGAAATTGTGGAAAATCTGAAAAGATAAGTTTTCTTTTGCCTTACAACATCTTGCATGTATCCCTCCACCTTTAATGGAGTTTGTAGAGGTTGGTATAGTGTAGTGGGTAACGCCTCTGCCTTCTGCACTGTAGTCTGGGGTTCGATCCCCCATCTGGCCAAGCACCCTACACTATACCAAAAAGAGTCCTTGGGCAAGACTCCTAACACTACCTTCACCTACCTGTGTAAAATGATCAACTTCTCAGTCATCAGGCAGTGAATTCAGAACCATTTCATGTAGTAACTTTCTGTGAGGGAGCTTTTAGTGGTGGACGTCTGGTTCCTATCACCACCACTGTGAACATTTCTGGCTCAGACCACTCTGAATGACTTTGTTTACATCTTAACCGTCTAATTTTGCAGGCAGTTTGTCAGTGGAATTATTAAATGTGTTAAAGTGAGGTTCATATTTGTGTTCTAGCTGCCTTGTGAAGATCAGATCATCCTGCTGAAGGGCTGCTGCATGGAGATCATGTCTCTGCGCGCGGCCGTGCGCTACGACCCGGAGAGCGAGACGCTCACGTTGAACGGAGAGATGGCGGTCACGCGCGGGCAGCTCAAGAACGGTGGTCTGGGCGTGGTCTCAGATGCCATCTTCGACCTGGGCGTGTCCCTCTCCTCCTTTAACCTGGATGACTCAGAGGTGGCGCTTCTGCAAGCGGTCATTCTGCTCTCCTCAGGTGAGTGCCATGCTGAGTCCAGCCAGCTCTGCAGAATTAATAATTGTGTGAAAGACATTCTTCTCATCATAATGAGGAGAGGAACGAAATGTAGTTTCTCCAGGACACAGTGCTACTTTTAGCATAGAACAGCAGCAGATGGACAATACAATACTTACCTGGCAGGGGTGACACCATGATCATGAAGGTGGTTCACCAGGGCGAGGCTCGGGCACTGCACAAATTCCCCAAATGTGGGAATCTCAACTGAATAATTTCTGGTAGTGGGGGGACTGCATTCGCACTCTCCCCTGACAATTTAGGGGCAGTCCTGGGCTGGAGGCTAGGGAACCAGCCCTGTGAGCGGAAGGTCGCCGGTTCGATCCCCTGAGCCGACAGTATGTGACTGAAGTGCCCTTGAGCAAGACACCTAACCCCCAAGTGCCGTGGATAGGCCTGCCCACCGCTCTGGGCAAGTGTGCTCACTGCCCCCTAGTGTGTGTTCACTAGTGTGTATGTGGTGTTTCACTGCACGGATGGGTTAAAATGCGGAGGTGAAATTTCCCCCTTGTGGGGCTAATAAGGGTCACTTATTCTAATACAATAAACACATAAATACAATAAATACAGACAAACTATGCTAACATTATACAGTTAACTCTTCTGTTCAATATACACAATATACAATAACTATACAGCTTTACAACCATTAAGCACCGGACATTAGAGACTAGTCATTGAACAAAAAGGTTGATGAATTTATGAGCTGTTGGTTCGCAGCAGCAATAATAGTTATGCTTAAATTATGTGTGATTTCTGGCTGATTTTACAGATTTTTGTTCCCTGGTCATCTTTTAGTCATCACAGCGCCCACATTGCAAGAACCGCTTAGCAGAGGCATTGTATGGTAACTGTAGACACTTGTGGTCGGTGAAATCGTAAATAATTTGTGACGTTGGGGTCAAAACAGTGTTTTCAGGCGCATCAAAGTGAGCCAACGAGGCCAGAGCCACTAATATGAACCAGCTGCTGTTCTCTAATAGTCACATTTCGAGTTATGATTGTTATGATCAAACTATAATGACTAGGTTCATTCATTTCTTTCATACAGAACATAAATAGTGAATATTTCACTTTTCATTTTTGTATACAAAGGATATAATGAAGCAAAATTAAAATGTAATCATAAAATTAAAAATAACAGTCATGAGCAGTCCTGGTCAGATTGAATGGTCAAATGTTTTGCTACTTTGTTTATTGCTAATACATGAAAGAACCTGTGCCAGGCTTCAAGGAGCTACAGGCAAAACTATTGCTGCGTGGAACAGCTTGGTAACATTTCTGTAAAGTTCTTTAATATTATTATTATTATTATTGTTATTGTTGTTGTTGTTGTTGTTGTTGTTGTTGTTGTGGTTAATGGTAGGTGCACCTGAACTAGTATTATGGATTATAGCTCTATAATTACTGTTGTAAATGTGATTATTTTTGTTACTTTTATTATTATTATTATTATTATTATTATTATTATTATTATTGTTGTTGTTGTTGTTGTTTGTTGTTGTTGTTGTGGTTAATGCTGGGTGCAGCTCAACTAGTATTATAGATTGCTCTATGATTACTGTTGTTATTGTAATAATAATAATTATTATTAGTAGTAGTAGTATTATTATTAGATGTTTATAAGATATCTTCTCTCTCTTTGTGTGTCACCTACTCTCTGTATTGTAAGTGACAATACGTTAACACATCCTCTACAGTGAACACACTTCTGCACATTTGAAATACACAATTACTGTTTATTTACTTAATTGAACATACTGGAAAAAATAAATGTTAAATTAAAGAAATAAACAATAATTCTTTATTAAGATGTGCAGTAGTGAGTTCTCTGTAGAGGAGTGTGTAACTTATTTATACTCAAATCGACAAAACGTGTCATTTTACCAGAGGTGTTCAAAATTTTGCATACAACTGTGCATATTGAACAAATTCAGTCTTTATGTCAAGATATTAGAGACTGCCCTCAAGTGAAAACATGCATGTAACTTCCAAAAATCACATTTAGGTGTTTTAGATTTGTGTTTTGCTTCAGAAAGCTTCTTCCACCACTGATAAGTACTGGACTTCCTCGAGGAGAGCTTTGGAGATGGTTATCTAACACGCTGACCCGTATAAATCACAGTGGATTATATCACTTAATAATGTTTATTTGTATTTATTCTAATGTTAGTTTTTAAATAAAAACAGAGCATTTTCTCCGACGTGCAGTACTCTGTGCTGGACAGTAAGTAAGGGCTACAGTGTCTCCATTTCCCCGGCCGAGGGCGAGTAATCCCTGCTCCTCCGTTTACTTGCACCAGAAGTCTGTTTAAGAAGCCTCAGGCCAGCTGTAGCAGATCCTTCTGCCGGCGATTACGCTGGATTACACAGGCTACTCAAGGGAAATCGCTCAATGACTTGATTAGAATGGGATTAAAGTTCAGCTGTGATAATCACGATCAATAGTTAAAGACTGCGGTGTCCATCTCTCCCTCACGGTCAGGCCCTAAAACTGCTATTGATTAATGTCAATACAGACAGATTGTTCCATGTGGCACCCAGTAGAACCCGATCAACAACTATAAAGTGATTTGCTGGGCATTAATCGAGTATTAATTACTAGCCTGGGTGGAAGGCCGGCCTGTATCTTTCATATTAGTGTCTCAAACACTGATATTACACAGAATAGATACTTTACTTTCGTAAAGAAATGGTTCAGTGAAAGATCATATTTACGCAGCCTTCAGCCCATACAGTCAGCCAGCCAAGACTGGAGCTGTGAGGCTGTTGTAGCTAACGGGTAATAGAAGCTTATAACCATTGATGCAACTTTGGGTGTTTTTCCACTGTTTAGAAACAGGAACAGACCCAAACATGAACCAGTTTCTAGTTCTAGTTCATTTTTCACAGCTGGTACCTCCATAATAACCAAGATTAACAAGGTAATTGTCTTTTTGACAGTTTTATGCCACTCTAAAGCATCTAATTTGGCTAATTAATTAAATTGCCTAGCTTATTTGGCTACTTTGCATGCTAGCTTAACTTATTGTCTGACATAAAGTGTCCATGTTTACAGAGACTCATGTGGAGAGCGAAGCTAAGCTTCAGTTTTTCTCAGTCGAGTGTGAAAATGTGAGCAAAAACACTCATTCAGTGGAGACTAGCATAAATGTTAGCTTCTTTACTGGCTAATGTCACCAGCCAACTCTATACAACGTGATCAGTCTTCACCTGGAAGAGTAAATATTTTGCCAAATTATCTTTGGATTCCGCTGCGTTACCAAACACAGGGACAGACACCTTCAAGCCCAGTTAGGCCTTGTTGGTACGAATCACGAGCAGGTAATAAACACCATAAACTGTAAGCTGCTTTAGTACTGAACTGATGACCAGTGGAAAACACACAGTTCCAGTTTTCTGGTTCCAAAATTATCATTTTGTGTGCAGTGGAAAACACCCTTGTTTTGAAATATGCTGGAGGCAAGAATGAAGTCCGGGAAAAAAATTAAACAATACATTTTAAAAGAACATAAAAGAAAAGCTCTGATATTAATAGAATAGAGTAAAAATAATAAAACAGTAGAAATGTTCTAATTAGTTTAGAACCATTGGCCGACTGTGTTTGCACACAGAGGAATTTGACCTCCGCATTTAACCCATCTGTGCAGTGAAACACCCACATACACACACTAATGAACACACACACTAGGGGGCAGTGAGCACACTTGCCCAGAGCGATGGGCAGCCCTATCCATGGCGGCCGGAGAGCAGTTGGGGGTTAGGTGTCTTGCTCAAGGGCACTTCAGTTGCCTACTGTCAGCTCAAGGGATCAAACGGGCGACCTTCCAATCACAAGGCTGGTTCTCTAACCTCCAGCCCACGACTGTTCGAACGAATATATGAGAAATGTTCAATTAATTAAATTAATGGAAATATCATAGCCTGTCATTTATAGAAATAAATATGGTTTTGGAGAGTGAGGCTAACTTGCTCGCAGTCATATTTCACCCATGGGCCACTATTTGATGACCCCAGGCTTAGAGTACATTCCAGTTGGTGGCGCTCTCCTGGCATCTGCCAGATTCGTCAGACTGCCAGATAGTGAAGTGTGATTCATCGCTTCAGAGAACGTTTCTATTGCTCCAGAATCCAGTAGATGTGCGCTTTACACCACTCTAGCCGACGCTTGGTATTGCGCATGGTGATCTCAGGCTTGTGTACATGGAAACCCAGTTTGTGGGGTCTACCGCTTCATAGTTGAGCTGTTGTTGCTTCCATTTCACAATAATAGCACTTACAGTTGGCCGGGGCAGATCTAGCAGGACAGAAATTTCATGAACTGTAAAGTCAGTATGACCCATTCCACTGCCAGTGTTTGTGTATGGAGATTACATGGCTATGTGCATAATTTCATGCCCCTGTGAGTGATGGGTGTGGCTAAAACACCTGAACTCAATAATTAGAGGGCTGTATGTTTTCCTGCTTTGTCGGATCTGTTCATCTTTTGGTCCCTTCTCCTCAGATCGTCCGGGCCTGACGAGCGTGGAGAGGATCGAGCGCTGCCAGGAGGAGTTTCTGCTGGCCTTTGAACATTACATCAACTACCGCAAGCACAAGGTGGCGCACTTCTGGCCCAAGCTGCTGATGAAGGTGACGGACCTGCGCATGATCGGGGCCTGCCACGCCAGCCGCTTCCTGCACATGAAGGTGGAATGCCCCACTGAGCTCTTTCCCCCTCTCTTCCTGGAGGTGTTCGAGGACTGACGGAGCGCCGGGCCTCAGCCGACCGATCGGGTCGGGCCCCGCCCACTGACACGCCCCTCCCCCAACACACACCAATGGCGCTTAACCACACCCCCTTTTGCCCTCTGCGGACACGTTAAACAAACTCTGTCCTGTCACTACTGAGTGTCAATTCATTCCATAGATATAGAAGTAGTTCTCGGGCCTAGTTTCTGGACGGACCATTCCTTTTACGATGCGGGTACATGTGAATAGCGTTACTTTTTTTAGTTTATTTTTTTTTTCTGTTTTGTTCCGTTTTCCTGAGTTTTCTTTTTCTCTGTCTCTCTCTCCTTTTTTTCTCTCTCCTTCTCTCTCTTTTTTTGTAAATGTTTCTCATTTTCAGTTACTCTAGGCGTATTTTTGTTGTTGTACAGTTATTTTATGAGTGATTATATCTCCCAGTCACTGTCGCTCACCCCGTTGTATGATCTATGCATTTGTATCATGCAACATTCCTCATCACGTAGAAGCTTTTGGAAAAAGAAAAAAAGAGAGTTAAAACAAAAAAAAACAAAAAAAAACAGTACAAGCCTACAAAGGAGATAAGCCTCTGTTCCTTAATCGTCTTCAAAACTCTAAAAGAAAATCGTTTTCTGCGAAACTTACACACGCAAGTTTCCACACGCAAAGACAATAGAGTTCTCAAGCACTGTTCACGAGCTGCGTCGGAGCGCGGCAGCGTTTAGAGGCGACGTCCGTAAACCTTTGCTACAGAGAACGTGGGCGAAAAGCGCTTAGAGCGAACCCATCGGAATCACTTCCGCTGAACAATGCCACTGTTTAGGTGCCAAAAGAAATGATGATTCTCGAGCCTAGAGCTCGCGCTCCCCCATAAACCTCTCTGTTCTGTAACCATCCATCCTCAGATCGCCCACCTGTGACTGTCTGTCCGCTCTCATAGGAACTCTTACACGTTTTACTGTGTCATATTTTGGTGAGATAGATAAGGCGACGCCTCCGCTCGGACTTTGATGGTGCTATGAGTTTGCCTACTTATACCTCTGTCAGACCTGTCAGTCAACCTCAGAATCAGCCGTTTGGGTGATCCACACACACACACACACACACACAGTTAGACCCTGTTTACACCTGGCCGTTTCATGAGTACCAGGACTGTGCAAAAGTCTGAAAATCACCTTATTTCATTTTCGTAGATCATTTCCAAGTTCTTCATGTTTTTAGCATCAAATTTATTTAATAGAAAATTACACCATTTGGCTTCCATTCCTTTCAGGAGACTTTCAGTTTCAGTTCAAAGAAACCTGCAGGGATATTTTTTCCACACCTCCAAAGTTCAGTCTTAGAAGTTGGTTGATCATTTTCTGAAGTAATCAAACACATTCAGTGGTGTTGAGGTTGTCACTCATGTTTCAAACTTTCTCTACTATTCAGGGTCGAGATGTAAGCAAAGCCATTCAGATTGCTTTGAGGTGAAATTGTTCTTTGTATATATAAACATTTTATTTACTATCCAAAACCACCAGTGAACCGACACGAGTCTTCTGAGCTTTTATATGTAATGTTGATGATGGAAAAATAGTGATAAATCTGGAAAAAAGTTTTCTTTTTTGCTTTGCATGTATTCGTTCACCATAAATGGATTTTATAAATACATTTTTGGTCAAAAATGGCTTAAACTGTCATAAAACAAGGTTTCAGAGTATTCAGTGTAGTAACTTTCTGTGAGGGAGCTTTTAGAGGTGGACGTCTGGTTCCTATCACCACCACTCTGAACAATTCAGACTCTAGAACAGAGCGTTTCACACCAAACCACTTTGAATGACTTTGTTTACAACTTAACTATTTAATTATGCATAAAATTTAAAAATCAGTGGAATTGCCCTTTAATAGTTTTAACATTAAGCTGTGAGTTTGGTTTAATATGAAACATTTTCTGCTTCAGGAGTGAAATAAAAACGGCTCCACCCTCCAGATAATCAGGACAGTGTTTCCACCAATTCTGACTGATTTACTGCCACAGACGTTCTCACTGCAGGATCATTTTGATGAGTTCTGTAGCATCCAGAGACGACTCTGATTGGCCGAGAGACGTGTCAGTCATTACTTTGCAGACAGCTAATTTGCATTTTACGCAGTCTGACTAACTGGAGACACATTTAATTACCAAGTGGTTCAAATCTGGTTCCAGGCCAGATAAAAGTCACATGAAACGACCAGGTGTAAACGGGGGTCTTACGCACGCATACAAACATAGAAGCATTTGCAGCGGTGAGCGGCGGGGTCCGTGGCAAGGCAAGAACGGTCCGCCGCTTCGTAACACAACGTGACCTCGAGGAGATGTCGAGGAGTTCCACTTTCAGTTTGTCTGTTTTTCGTTTGTTTGTTTTTTTGTTTAGTTTATTTGTTGTCATGTTTTTTCTTTTTTTTGTTTTTTCCTTCCTTGCGACATCATCCTCTAACGTATTGTACTGCGAAACATTTCTCACGTCACATACCTCTCTGTACGTTCTATACAACGACTGGTCATTTTTGTTGGTCTACAAAACAACAACCACAACACTTTGCCTCAAGCTTGTGTTCTCTGTAAAAGTGATGCCTTTCGTAAGCAATAGACTTATTTAGGATTACATGCACACAAAGCACAGACTCAGACTAAATGCACAGACAATCAGCGTGTGAGGAGAGAGAGAGAGCGAGAGAGACAGAGAGAGAGAGAGATAGAGAGAGAGAGAGAGATAGAGAGAGAGAGAGAGAGAGAGACAAAAAGAGAAAGAGAGAGTTGGAGAATGCAGGAAGGGGAGCCGCAGCTGACCGCCACATGCATTAAGGTCAGGTATTAGGTGGGAGGTCGTGCCGCCTCTCGGAATAGCCATGCTTCAGGAGAGATTTGTCCACTTTACCGAGTTACAGTGACTTCAACAACAACAAAAGAAATAAACAAGCACGCACTACAGTAAAAAAATTATTTTACAGTATAAAGGAGGAGTTTAAAAAAAAAGGTTGTATATTTTCAGACTGCAGATATTTTTTACAGATGTTTGTTTGCATATGATGAAACATTTTGCCATTTTAACAGACAGTGAAATAAAGCTTGTTTCTCCAGTTTCTAACAGAATCACACAGGGTCATTCATGAACTCTTTCCAGTGTTACTTCCCGCCATTCCCGAAAAACAAAAAAAAAACGGTCCTTCAGCATCGAATTTATACTGGACGAAGGGCCCCGCCGAGCCAAGCCCGCAGCAGAGCAATCCAGGCCTTTCCTCCTTCCTTCAACCCCGAAAAAATCTCAGAGAATGCTTTTTTTGTGTTTATTTTATGTGTCTTATTGTCTAGCCAACAAATTCTATTTGATATGATGTGGATCTGAGAGATGTACACAGTGAGCCTGGCACATTTGGTCAGTGGGCTCGAGCTGGACGAAGTCGCTTTTGGGTTTAACTCCATTTTAACTTGACTTCAATCTGTCGGCTCATGAACCTGCAGCTCCATGGTGCCCCCAGCCATGATCCCCCCCCCCACCCCACCCCCCGGACATGAGCGAGGGAGGGGTGCGAGTGTGGTTTGAATGTCAATCGGTTCTTAAAAGGCTGATTTTTTTTTTTTTTCAAACCAAATTTGTTCCGTGTTGCACAAGGCCGCTGTGAGACAGTGAAGCCGAGGATTAAATAGGATTAAGCGTTTGGACCGTGCTGTGATTTGGGTACCCTGGAAGAAAAGAGAAGTTGCACTAAAGAACATAATCCTGGATCTGAATGATGACTGTGATGATGATTGTAAAATAACAGTGAGAGAATCGATGAAGATGAGGATGGTCATGGTGATGGTGTTGTTGATGGTGTTTGTATTTAATATGAACTGGCTCTGAGAATAAAGGTGGTTTTGAGAAATGCCTCGAGGACGTGCTCTATTTGTCCTTTGTCCTAATTGCTGAGGTCTTCTAATAAAATCAGATTTATTATATCAAGTATATAAACTCAAATGACAAATGACTCTGGAGATGGGCAGCATCGCTGTCTTGCTCTACACTCTTTGGAACGCCACCGATTTTTCTAAATTTCCGCATAATTAAATGGTTAAGATGTGAAACAGTCCACTTGGAGAGAGTTGTCTGCAGTGGTGGTGATAGGAACCAGACGTCCACCTCTAAAGGCTCCCTCACAGAAAGTTACTACATAAAATGGTTACAAATTCATATAAAAATTCAGCTGTATAAAATCTGTTAGTGGTGGATGGATACATGCAGGGCTTTTTAAGGCAAATACACACCAAAGAAAACGTATTTTTTTCAGATTTTCCACTCATCAACATTACATATATAAACTCAGGAGACACGCGTAGGTTCACTGTTGGTTTTAGATAGTGAATTAAAAAGCGTGCAAAAAGTCAAAATACATTTTGTTGATTTTCTAAGTAAAAATAACTCTCTACAGAGAACACACTTAAATATGGCAATTTTCTCCGAGATTTAGTGCACAATGTCTATTTAATTGCTTAATTTAACAGAAAGACAAGATAACATTAAATGTGCCATAACTTTTGCACAGTCCACATTTTATGGGTTTTGCTTCCAGCAAACTAACAGTAATTGTGCGTTAAAATGTGCAGTAGTCTGTTCTCTGTAGAGGATGTGTAATCTTTAATTAGAATATCAACAACAAATTCAGTTGGACCAGAACATTTGCACAAGTATATTTGTGTTGTAGACGTCTCTACAATGAACGATTTCACACCAAACCACTCTGATTGAATGACGTAGAAATTTTGAAAAATTGGTGGATTTCCCCTTTTATAGTCACATTTAAGGCTAATAGAATTCACGTTCATCTGGAAAAGCTAACAAATTAAGTACAACCCTGTTTCCAAAGAAGTTGGGACGCTGTGCAAAATGCTAATAAAAACTGAATGCAGTGATGTGCAAATCATTTAATTAAAATACTACAAAGACAACATATCAAATGTTGAAACTGAGACATTTTATTGTGTTTAGAAAACTATATGTTCTTTTTGAACTTGGTGCCAGCAACATGTTTCAAAAAAGTTGGGACGGGGGCCTCTTTACCACTCTGTAAGTGTTTGGGAACTGAGGAGACACTGCTGTAGATTAGAAAGTGAAATGTTTCCCTGTTCTTGTTTCATACAGGATTTCAGCTGCTCAACAGTTCAGGGTTTTATTTGTCAGATTTTTCATTTTATAATGCACCAAATGTTTTCAGTGGTGACAGATCTGGACTGCAGGCTGGTTAGTTTAGCACTGGGACTCTTTAAATACAGAGCAATGCTGCTGTAATACATGCATAATGTGGTTTGTCGTTGTCTTGCTGAAATAATCAATCAATAATCTCCCTGAAAAAGACGTTGTCTGGATGGCAGCATATGCTGCCAAAACATGTATATATCATTCAGCATTAATGGTGCCTTCACAGATGTGCACGTCACCCATGCCATGCGCACTAATGCACCTCTATACCATCATGAATACTGGCTTTTGAACTGTGCACTGATAAAAAGCTGAGTGGTCTTTAGCCTGGAGGACACAGCGACCATGATTTCCAAAAAGAATT